ACCAGGTCTCAGTAAGACAAAGTTTCCACACACTTCAGGTTGATTGGTAACATTCTAAAGTTTTGCAGAATACTAACTCAAAATTATATTTTTCTGTAATTAGTACTGTGGTTGAGGTTTTATTTATGTGAATTTGTGTTTTGTATTTAAACTGCTAAAAGCTAATATGTTAAATTTTAAGTTCAAATTTGCCTTAGCGATAAAAACAGCCGTTCTTTAATGTCGTTGAGTATCATTTTGGGCTTCTTTAGGCAATGTACTGTTTTAACACCTGTATCGGGGAAAACCCAAACAATACCAACCTTACTGTTTTCTCCTGATCCCATTTTGATCTTAATTTACATATATTTAACTAATAATCTTACATCATGATCTCATGCTGAAATGCTGCTTCCAAGACACTCAGATGATAAATTCCTGACTACTCCCAGAGTGTTTCCTGTCTCATCCCAGTCCTGACCATACAATAGCAGTCTTTTAAATCCAGTGGTCATTTCATACTGCTGTAGGTTTACCTCTACCTTCCAGACCCAGTACCCTCATGTGGTCACAGTATCCTTAACAATAAGAAGAGCATTTTCAAAAACTACAGCACACACTCACAGCCATACAAAAACTTTAATTTCAAACTGATTAAAAGTGTAAGAAATACATTTTTCACTCAGCCCAAAACAAAGCTATTGTTGATCATTACCAGTGACTCATTTAGTGGTTTTTGGCTTTCACAACTAATTTTCTGGCCCGTCCTCTTGTTTTGAAATTGTAGCAGTAATACAACTTATTTCCTCCTACACAAGTCTCTGATACAATCACAACTTCCCACAACTCCCATCTGCCTGATCTGCAGTGGCCTGTGTTTGACCCAAACAATGATGTTTTCACCGCAGAGACTAGCAAGCCTTTAAATTAGACACACAACACCAGTGCGTTATAAAGAGGTAGTATATCACAATACATTGTTTGTTGTGTTCTTGTTACAGCACGTCCTCTTTTGCAACCTTGTTACTAAGTAGTTCTCAAGTGAGTTTTTAGAATATTAATTTAAAATGCTAACAGGAAAGAAAGTTGGATTCAAAGTAAATGTCCAAAAAAATTAATTCCTAGAGCCCATTCACAGGATTGGGGATATATAAAGCCGGTCACTGTCCCATCTGTTAGTTAATGTTGTGTATAACTTTCTTTTTTGTGTATCAAATACTCCCGCCCACTAGTAAAACGTTGTAACAGTTTCTGAATTGATACCCTTGTGAGCAGGTGAATCGGGCAGAGCCACTTTTGGTGAGGAAAAAGACCCAAAGAGATTGCTTTATTAATATTAGTATAGGCTTTCAGAAGTTCAAACAACTACACCTCCCTTCAGAACAATCAGCACTTGTCACTGTTAGTTATCATCCTTGTAGTTGTAATATGGTCATTGAGTACTAGCAATTTTGAAAAAAGTAATTGTATCTGACCAGCATTCCCCAAATATCTTACACTCGTGTGTGTGTGTGTGTGTGTGTGAGTGTGAGATGTACTGAGACGGTTTGAGTGTGTGTTAGACCCGTTCATTTAGATATCAGCAAATTCCTCTCTGTGTCTACAAAAACAGACTCGATGTCAATCCCCTCACCTTGCAGAAGTTGAAATGCTTTATTAAAGTGTAACTTTAATCAGATTATTCACAGTAACTGCTACTACTGAGTCGATGGAAGGTATAGTGCTTAAGTTTAGCTGGCAGATGGCAGTGCTTTCTAAAGCAAATTACCAAAAGATATTAAATATTGTGCAACTGCAGTTTGTCCACTTGCTAAGCGACGTTTATGTCCTGCAGAGACTGTGTACCTGTTCGGGGGCTGGGACGGCACACAGGACCTGGCTGACTTCTGGGCTTACAGTGTTCAGGAGAACCAGTGGGCCTGCATCTCCAGAGACACAGAGAAAGAGGTGAGCGGGATCAGAACACACGTTGTCCAAACACAGATACACCAACACATAGCTAATATGTTCCACCTTTGTATGGTTCTATTTACAGAACCAGATGGCAAGTTAGGTGTTAACCAGAAAATCTTTAATCTTTAGTCAGCTATTATTTCATTAAGACAGAATTTATTGTTTTTGTTGAGGTAAAGTTTGCTTGTTAGTAAAAATGTATTGTCTTGATCAGTGCCTGAGCAGCTTTTGTGTATAATTGCTTTTGGTCTCAGAGCGGTCCGAGCGCTCGTTCGTGCCACAAGATGTGCATCGACTCCCAGCGGCGTCAGATCTACACGCTGGGCCGGTACCTGGACTCCAGCGTCAGGAACAGCAAGTCTCTGAAGAGCGACTTCTACCGCTACGACATCGACGCCAACACCTGGACGCTACTCAGCGAGGACACGTCAGCTGACGGGGGGCCAAAGTTGGTGTTTGACCACCAGGTAGCTGGAATCCATGTCCACTTGTACCTCCTTTACTTAGATAGAGGCAGGACAGACTTTTTGAAAATGAATGAAGCTGAAATTTGGCCACTCTAAGTGAGACATCTCTCTAATCCTTCCACACATATCATGGAAATCGGAAACTCATCCTGCTTCCCTTTATTATCTCCCATAACCCACTTTCTGAACTCTCACGTCCTGTTTCCCTCGTCTCTTCCTGCAGATGTGCATGGACTCGGAGAAGCACATGATCTACACGTTTGGTGGCCGCATCCTGACGTGTAACGGCAGCGTGGAGGACAGCAGGACGTCAGAGCCTCAGTTCAGTGGCCTGTACGCCTACCACTGCCAGGCCGGGACATGGAGCCTCTTGCGGGAAGACTCGTGTAACGCCGGGCCAGAGGATGTCCAGTCCCGCATCGGACACTGCATGCTCTTCCACACTGTGAGTCCGGCCTGCCTGTCTGAAAACACATTTTTGGATTTATTCCTGATTAGATACTGAAGATACTGCAAAGTTGGATGTTAATTATTTCTGTATTTTCTGTAACAGAGAAACCGCTGTCTGTACGTGTTTGGAGGTCAGAGGTCAAAGACGTACCTCAATGATTTCTTCAGCTACGATGTGGACGGAGATCATGTAGAGATCATATCCGATGGCACCAAGAAGGACTCAGGCATGGGTAAGATTTATCCTCCATCACACAGTGCCTACAGCACACAATTTATATATATATATATTAATATTGGACGAGATAACCTTTCCATATTAATCTTTTATTGGTTATAAAACCGCTATGGTTGGTCTGTCAATCTGATATTGTTCTTTTAATTAAAAAGAAATCCCCAGTGGGGGGTTGTGACACACAAGGAAGTTCATAGTCAAGTCAAATTTTAACTCTGAGATAACACAGTGAGTAAAGTGATCAGAAGCCTTCTGTTTGGTTTCCTTGTGTGCATTTCCTAGAGTGTAGGAAAACAGACGGCGGCAGGCCTTTAAGAAGACAACAGCTAGCTAAACTGTAACTTCCAACCATCAGCAAACAATTAAATGACTTCCTTTCTTCCCTGCTGAAGCAGTTCTTTCTTTGGTTAAGTATTGTTAGCCTGATTACAGGAATTCAGATCTTCCCACTTCTCTTAGAATTCAAGTCAAGTTGCAGGTTTTATTCCAGGTATTGTTCTTTTTTTTTTTTTTTTCCAAACAGTTAACTAGGTTTTAGGTGCAATCCATAACGAAGCCGTTTCCCTGAAAAGGGCTGAAAGAGGCGGTCCTCAAGGGCAGGATGCAGAAATTCAGTGTGGTCATGTAGGGAGGAGGGAGGGTCCTGTAACTGTAAGAATGCAGAGAAAGTTAGCCAGAATGCTGGTTTCACTTACAGCACCTTTTAATATCTTCTGTTATCATTAACAGTATCAGCCACAACAAACAGATAATCATCAGTTATCACTAACTGCCCTGAAATTCCCTATCAGTGCGTCTCTATTAATTGTATTGCATTGCTGTAACCATCATGCTTGATTAGATTTAAACCAAAGGCAGGCAGAGATTTGAAATACTTCTTAATAGGAGTTGAGTGCTTTGCTTTGGTAACAGTGTCGTACAATGAAAGCAACTGCCAAAGTAGCAAAATGCATGTTCTACTCTAATACTGCACAGATGCAATCAGAGAGTCTTCTGCTGCCTAGAATCTGTCAAAATAAGTTTCACAGAGTCATTTTTTCATGTTCTCCTATTGCTCTCATGGCAGACTACAGAATGTGAGCCTATTCTGCACATTATTGAATCAGGATTATGTAAACAGAAAAATGTTTTAGTATTCTGTAGCCACAGCAAGACGCTGGCTGAACAGAAATGAGGGATTGCTGTGATCCTTTGAATATTAACTGCCTTCCACATTTAAATGCAAGATAAAACAGTAAACATTTGATTTAATCAGCAATTTAAAGTTTAGTCCAGGCATACTTGATTCTCATTATGTGTGTATGTTATAATTCAGTCCTTTATTACTTTGCTGTTCTAGCTTATTGTTTTTACCCAACACACCCCTTTTTTAGTCTCACAGTTCCACTCATTGTGTGTCAGGCACTGCCACCACGTGACTCCTGCGTTTGAGTGTTTTTGGCGTAGCAGCCCTGTAGCCTCATGAGTATTGTTTAGCTTTAACCTGTGACTCCATCAGACAACAACCTGTGATCGTGGCAGACATCTCTGCTGCTGCATTCAGGGTCTAATGAGCTGTGTGTGTTTGTGCGCTTCTCTGCCACTGTCAGAGGAGATGTGACAATTTCTCCGCTTAAAAAGCTCCGGCAGCAGTAAGACACTTCCTACCCCCCCCATCACACAGATTGACTGAGATCTCTGCACTCACAGCTCCACCTCAAACACAGTATAAATAGACCTCCGTCTGCCGACCGCTCACCTCTGTGCTGCCGGAGCCTGGCAGGGAAGGAGAATCTGGGCGCAGTGATAATATGGGAGAGAGAAGGTGTGCGCGTGAAGTGGAGCAAGAAAGAACAGAATGTATTTTGGCAGGAAGGAAGCAGCAAGCCCAAACAGTTCTCTCTACCTCACAGTCAGCGTCACATGTGGATGTGTGCCGGGGCTCAGGGCAGGCTCAGCATCTCATGCTGTTGGTCTTCATGTGCTGACCTTTAACCCCCAACTCTGTTTGGGAGAACGTCTGTCGCCCAGCTGTCTGTCTGCCTGATCTCAGCTGGGGGTTTTAGTCAAATTAAGTTAATTCAGATGATACCACAGTAATTAATTAAATGTTGTCAGTGTTGCCCCTCAGTGGCAGCACAGTGTATTTGAAATGAAATACCTCTACATTAAAAATAGTTTTAGTATTAGAATGATGAGTCACAGCGGCTGTCTGTCTGATTCTATGTAGCTTGCTGGATAAATGGCCATCCTGTTCTGTTTTTCTCCTTCTGAGAACGTTCTGAAAAAAGATGATATAAACTATCAGGCCTGACTTGGCAGTGCTTTGCTCAGTTGTGTGTTTTTCTCCCTGCATTGGAAAGAGTATAAAGATGGTCAGAGCTCTGCCAACAAAGAGTTCAGTCTCCATTTAGGGACAGTCTTTACATTTCAGCTTTAAATAAGTATACAACAACATATAGAACACAGGTCTAGTGTTGATAGATATTTTAGTGTGGAAAAAAGCTCTCATATGTAACAATATGAGAGCTTTAAGAAAGGAAAACAATATCCATATATAGTGGTATATATGGATATATATATATAGTTTTTTTTTTCTATATCCACATCACCCAACCTTAATCCAGTATGTCAATATGTGAAAAAAATAACAATAATAATAATTGATTTTAACAAATAATCTCAAATTTGTTCATTTAAATTAAAAATCTAAATGCTGCCAGATAGTTATAGTGGGGTTTTTTTTAATCAACACATTTAAATGATTCCCCTTTTTCCTGAATTGAAAGCAGCAGAGATAAGATAAGATGTTTCTTTATTGATCCCACCGTAGGGGAAATTCAAAAGATTCAGCTCTGATGCTGAGTCAGTTGAGTGCCGAACTGCCTGCAGCTTATCATTATTTTCATGCTTGTTGTGCTCTGTGTGCACAGTCCATGCATATATCCATGCAACACGAGTAGCTGAAAATAAGATGTCTTTAACATGTTAGTGCTGTGCTGAACTGTTGGTACAGCATTAAGCTTAATTAGGTTTCTAATAAACAGAGCTATGGTTGAGCCCAGATGTGTCGCCTGTCAGGTTATACATTATAGACAGAGAGATCTGTCATTTAATGGAGGCTTTTAGTTCCAGGAGAGCTCTAATTGTTGACTTGCACAGGGAATTGAACCCACATGCGTGTAATTTTTGCTGCCTTGCTCCACCCACCGCACTTCTCAGGCCTGCTGTAATAACAGGAGAACAACAGTGTGTCGGCGTTTCTCCATCACACCCATCTTAATTTGCATGCTGTTCACTCTCGTCTCTGTCCCTGCCGGGCCTTGTTGCCATGGCGGCGTGTTGCTGTGTTATCAAGTACTTTTTCTTTAACTCTTTTTAACTTCCATTTCAGGGTGAAGGAAGTTTCATTATTAATGGATTCTTTTTCCTCCATGCCAGCAATAAGCACTGACCTGGATCACCTGTAAACATTGTCACATTTTTATCTGAGCTGAATCAGATCTGCTGGAGGACTAAGCGTTTTTATTTCTTGACTTGACCTTCCCTGTTGATTTATCGCCACCGTTTTTGCCTCCGCAGTGCCAATGACGGGCTTCACCCAGAGAGCCACCATTGACCCCGAGCTCAACGAGATCCACGTCCTGTCGGGCCTCAGCAAGGACAAGGACAAACGCGAGGAGAACGTCCGCAACTCCTTCTGGATCTACGACATCGCCCGCAACAACTGGTATGAGATAGAGAGCGAGAGATAAACACACATCACAGTTTCTGTGATCGTCACAGCAGCAACGAGGAGAGAGTGTACACAGTCGCAGGAAATACTTTCTCACACAACAGCTCTTTGTAGCCAAGATTGTCACCACAACAGATAACAAGAGAGCATGCATGCAAACAACACACTCACTCTCCAACATTTTTACACAAATGTCAAAGCATTTCCTGACCTCTCAGCCCTCCACTGGGGAACTGCATGTTCCCACTGTCTGTGTCTATGTGTGTGTGTG